CTAAGGATTTTAGGAGAGTTATTAATTATTGAAATGTATTAAGATGGCAAGTATATTTTCACTGCATATTTCATGGTTTTGCACATATTCCGAACGTGAGCAGTGCGGTTTCGTTGTAATTGTCCGGATAAGTCGCGTGCATCCGATCCCTAAGTGCCTAAGGATACAGGCACTTTGCTTACAAGTCCTGACCCGTGCACGTCTTAAATGCAGCGCCTGGGAACGTTCACATGTCCCCTTTGAAAATCAATTTCCACAAATAATTGCGCTAATGAAATGCCGTCATTAAAATATCCCCGGAAAATGAGCCCCGGAGGGATGTCGCCGAGGGCCCAGGGAATGCTTTTAAAAAATTAAAACAGTTGCGAATGCTTCTTCCATTATTCACGAGCTTTATTAGGAGCCATTAGAAGGGAATTAGACAAAAGGATGAGACGGAGGTCTTTTCCTAATGAAAATACTGTTCTCAAGAAGAAACTCGGGAATCAAAAGGAGCTCGTGGGGAAGCAGCGCGGCGGGCAGCAACGGGGGAAAAATATTTCCCGGATCTTATATGGATTCTTCCCACCTCTTGGAAAGTTTCTGGTCTCTGAAGTTTCTGGTTGTCCTAAATTTAATGCACACGCACCGAAAAGTCCGATAGTTCCGTAAAGGATGAACTTCAGTGACTTCTCCCCCTTCTGAAAAGCCATTCCCTTTAGATCCTCCTGCAGATTGTTCCTGCTCGGCTCCGCGTCTCTCCTTGGGCTTTTTGGATTTTGACGGTGGAGAGGTCGGAAAAACTGGGATTTTGCAGCTTGCCGAGGCCAAAATGCCCCCCGTGCTCCCGTTTTTTGGGGCTGCCTTGCTGGAAAGGTCCCTCCTCACCCTTCCTCACGTCGGCATTTGGGCATTTCCTTCATGGTTGATATGCCAAGGGGAAAAATACCTGGAAAAACTGCAATTTGCTCTTCTGGTACCTGCTGCTGCTCCAGCAGTTGGCCGGGCAGCACGCTGCAGCAGCTGGATAAATCACCAAAAAAAGGTGAGGAAAAACACTCACTTTTTCCTAACAGTGATGGAGAACTTCATTCTGCGTGATGATCATCTCGAAGACAACGCTCGTACGCCACGATGAATTAAATGGGTGATTTTCCCGTGATTGAGCGGTCGTTTTGCCTGGGAGATGCTCTCCTCCAGCACGGAAGAATATAAGAATATAGAGAGACTGCAGCTTTGTCAGTGAAGGATTTGTTGCATTTTATTTCCGCGCTGTAGGAACGATGTTTGATGTCAGTCTCATAAATTCGAGGCGTGAGCATCCACCGCTCCCATTCAACCTTTTCTATGACAGAGAAATCAGTGCTTGACTGATTCGCAAATGAATAATTCCAACAAGGAGACCCATTTCCAGTGCGCCACCTCATTTCTTTCTTTTTTAGTTCCTTACCTCTTTCATTCTTTGCTCGTGATTGTAAATGGCAACGTTCTCGCCTGATTAATGGTTGTTTTAACAATATTGGAAATTTCACGGGTGCCAATTTTGCTCTTTTTGCGCGTACGGAGCAGCGATTTCTGCAGTGATCCAACTCAAAAGGCATCAAGGGTAAGGAATGAGTTGACCAGGCTCATGACCATGGCCGTTTACTCCAGGAATACAAGTTAAAAAGAGAGGGAATTTCACAGAAATGGGGACTTCATTCTTTGGAATACGTCCTTCCCTTCCTCTTGCCACATGCCAAGGAGAAAAGCAGAAGACACGTATGGGGTTTTGAAGCTCGGGTGATGGGCTCGGATGTTCATCTCGACATGGCCGATTTAGAGAACAAAACCCTAAAAATAAAAATAAAACCAGTTGCAGCTGAGAGGAAATGAAGGTAAAGCTCCTAGATTGGAATTTGGATGATAACAACCATACCAGCAGGACTGCCGAGGATGCCATCAAATGCTACGTGCTCTTAAACTGCAGATCAGATTAAATCTGACCCTTGTGCGTGGATGAGGCGGAAAAAAAAGGGAAAAAAAAAGACATTTGGGTTTATTGGAAAGGGAGAGAGAGAACGAAGGTTCTTCATTTTCTTTAATCTTTGCAGATGACAGTCGTGGATTATAACAAAGACATGAAAGGGAACAAAAAAGCTTTTTAATGTAGTTGGGTTTTTTTTTCCTCCCCTTTTGCATTTTCAATACAAACTGCAGCAGTGGAAATCAAACAAAATATGTTAAATTTTATGCACCTCACCATTTCCCTCCTAGATCAAATTAAGGCACAACACGACCAGGTAAAGGCACTTCAAGACTCCGGGGACCCTTCGTTCCTTTCTTTCCTTTGCAAACTGGCATTTGAAGAACGCAGCCGTTTTCCCAGCTATTTCCTGCAGTGGATTTGTTTGGTTTGCCCTGTTGTTCTTTTGCTTCCAGGATCCAGTGATCAATTGGGAGCAAAGGGTCGGTTCGAGCCCCCTGCACTGTTTGCATCATTCCCAGGGCTTGGAAAACTGTGTTCCCAGGGGAAAAGGCACCTCCAGCCCCATGTCCTGCCTTCTCCAGTGTCACCGTTTGCTCTAAGGTGATGCCAAGGAATCACAGAATGCTTAGGGTTGGAAGGGACCTCTAGAGATCATCCAGTCCAAAAGCCTACAGCACCCGGGCGGTCTCCCATCCAAGTACTAACCGGGCCCGACCCTGCTTAGCTTCCGAGATCAGACGTTTTCAGGGTGGTATGGCCGTAGGCAAGGAGCTCCAAGCAGCTACAGACACCCCGGGTTCAGCTCGTTGATTGCACCCAAATTGCAATAAATTAAAGGCGAATTTTTGCAAAAAAAAAAGCAGCGACTGGTGCGACTTCCAGCGCCGTTTCTCGGGCCGTCTCGCCCAAACTCCAGCTAACCCCTAACATCCCATTAACGGCATCGACTCTCGTGTCAGCCCGGGCGCTTCATTTCTTATTGATTCCTCCATATGTCTCACGCTTCCCGGCCTCGGCCGCCTCCGGAAGCTCCGGAGCGCGCCCGGATTGCCCGGAGCTTGCGACGCACCGCGGGAGCTGCAAAGGTTCACGGCTCCGCGGGGGTGCCGAGACGCCGCCTGTCCCCGCCGCGTGGGGAGGTGACATCTGAAAGCGGCTCCAGACGCGCCGCTCTGGCCCTGGAATAATAATAAAAGCACTTAACGGGTTCTCCTGGTGAATTGTCCTTGCTCCGTTAAGCACCTTCCCTGGAGTTTTGCAAGGAAGATGCATCCAGCGGCGGTCCGAGGAGCTGTGGTAAGTTGGCCCCAAAGCAGGGAGGTGCTGGAAATTTTGGAACACTGATGCTTCCATCCTTCGTCCTTGTGTCCCCGCGGAGCTGGTGACAAGAACTGCCATTCTCAGGGACAGTATAAATTAGTATAATTTAGCGGATGTGATAAGCAGGTCTGAGTATTGCTATATTTTTATTACTCGCATTACTCCGGTGCCAAGAGCTTCCAGCGAGACCAGAGCTTAGTTGTGCAGGAAGATGCTGTAAGTCACCACGTCAAACAACTTACAGGCGGAAGGCTAAAGGAAAAGAAAGGAAATATTAATGCCGTGGGGACTGAAGGACACAGGATGGTGGCTTCTCCATCATCTCCCAAGAAGAATTTGACATATAGCACATGTGCCTCTGCTCTGCTCGGTATCTCACTCTCAAAGCTCTTCTCTCCTCCTTCTCTTCTCTTCTCTCCTCCTTCTCTTCTCTTCTCTTCTCTTCTCTTCTCTTCTCTTCTCTTCTCTTCTCTTCTCTTCTCTTCTCTTCTCTTCTCTTCTCTTCTCTTCTCTTCTCTTCTCTTCTGTTGTAACAGAGGTAGGATCCTTGCTGGTAGTTGTCATGTATTACTGCAAGTAATGCATGAGGTCTTTATAGGCAATTTTTGGTCATTTTGGTGGGAAATCCTTTCAAGCAAATTTCCAAATAATCTGAGACGATCCATGAAAGAAAATGGCAAAGATGAAGCCCTCATCCGCCAGCTAAAGTGCAGCCAATGCCTAGAAGAAGTGAAACACAACTGGGTTTGTCTAGCTGAGAACATGGGAGAGCTGATCCCGTTTGGAGACCATCACCGTGATAGTCTGTGCTAATGGAGTATTTTATAGCTAAATTCACTGCTCTCCTTAAAAGCTGCTAATATGGTAAAATCAGAGTCACTTTTTGGAGCACTTGGTGGACAGGCCATTGCTTGGGGTGGTTTCTGCACCCGGGAGGCCAGGTCAACCCATGGGTGTCCTGACGTGACCCACCACGTGTGTGGCTTGCAGTGCCCAGGTTTCTTCAGCAGCTTTTTAATCCGTGCTGTTGGCCCCAAGGTCTGCACCCCATGTCCATCCTGGGGAAGGGATTCCTCCCAAATTTGCTTGGTTGGAGCCTTTGGGCTCCTCAGTGCCTACAGGCAGGCTCTCGTTTCCCGGGAAGCTTTCCCTTAGTCTTGATCATCCCTAGCTCTAACGCTCCTCTTTTGGGCTAAACTACAGGAAAACTGCTCTGCTTGTGACCATGTTCTTCAAGTCCCTTAATCTCTTCATTTCCCAGCATTCGATAGCCCGTGTCCGTCGGGGTTTATACTTCAATTTGACATTTCTGCTCTTGATAGATTCCCTCTTCCCAGCAATAAGCTGATGTGACCAGGTCTAGCAGCTGATGTTGGTGCTATTGATTGCTGGGCATCATGTTTCCATGGACTCACACAGGGGTAATTTAGGCTGTTCTTTGGGAGCATTCTGAGCTAATTGTGACCGACTTTGACTTGGGTTTTGGCTGCTTTTCTGTAGAGAAGAGCTACATGGTGCCATAGTCCCACCAGCTCACAGCCAGGCTCCTTCCTCATCCCGTTATCCCAAGCGGTTGCATTTTTCCAAGGAAAGCACCGGAATGACCCCAGCAGTAGTATTAATATATAACGCAGTTGAAAAAGCACCACTTAGTCATACGATAATATTAATGCTTTTCACTTTTCCATTGTATTAGGCGAAATCCAACTCTTAATACTGTGGTCAGATGCTGTACCGTGGCAAATTGCCTTTTTCCTCTTATCTAAGAGGAGACTAATGCAATTATTTGTTGCTCCAGTTAACAGCAACTCAAATTATCCACCCGATTTTTTCCTGTTTGTAACAGAAAGCTGCAGTTCCCATCCTCATCCAAATCTTAGGATTTCCCAAATGCAACCTTACCCAGTTATAAACCTGTCCCCTGTCCATCTCCATATGTGCTCTCTAAATATAGTCCCTTAAAGTTCACTGCTTCCATCCATTAGTGCAAAAATAAAAGATGCAGAGCCACATGCTAAGCGCATTTATTTTAAAATGTCCCTGCATATGTAGAAAACGCTGCAAATTTGCCCGCTGCAATAACAGCCAACCAACAAATACTTGGTCTCTAATTTAAGTGTTGCAACTCCTAGATCTCACATGAAGATTTATTTAATGTGGGGTCTAGGAGTTGCAACACTTAAATTAGAAATTAAAAGTAGCAGGGTGATAGATAGGGGAAATCATATGAAAATACAGCCTGCATCTTTAGGAATACAAAACAATTCCCCCATGACTGGTGATATTACAATGAATACCAACAGAATTAATGGCCATGCAATAATTAATATAGGGAATTCTTCGTCATTGAGGTGAGCGGAAATCCTGGGAAGAGGACACAAAAGGAGGATAACCTGTGTCCCCATCCCACGCTAACCCCGTGTGCTCTGTCTTGCCCTCCCTGTCCTCTCCGCAGAGCCGAGCTCGCACTACGTGATCTCCCTGAAGGCCTTCAACAACGCGGGCGAGGGCGTCCCCCTGTACGAAAGTGCCACCACGCGCTCCATGACGGGTGAGTGCCGCCGCCGCCGCGTCCATCCCGCCGAGACCCTTTGGAAAAAAGGGAAGAGCTCCGCATCCCTGCAGGCCGGTTCATCTGCTCCTGCAGTGTGGCTATGCAATCCGGGAGGGATGAAATGCCCTGTCCGGGTGGTTGCTCTCCGTTTTATTCCCAGCAGCTGGAATGGGATGCTCCCAAACGCTTGCTCGGCTTGGCTCGGGAGAAGCATGACTCCCAGACCACTCCAATAGGCAGAGGGCAGCTTAGGATAGCAGCTATTATGTGGCCCAGATTATTTTCCATATTTCCCTATTTTCCATATTTCCCTATTTTTGGAGTATTTCCGATTAAAATGAGTGCGTTCCAAACAAGCTCGCACCATGCATGGGCTGGGTGACATGAAGGAAAACATTGATAAGAGAAGCTGCAGCAGGTTCACACTGTTGGGACCATAGCAAAAGAAGGACTAAACGTGCAGAACTGAGGAATAAAATGAATTTTTTTATTATTTTTTTCCTTTTTTTTCCCCTTGGATTGAGACCATCATTTGGTGCCGTTTTTTCCTGCGCTTCACCCAGTGTGTTCAGAGCTTCCTGGAACGGGAGCCGCGTCCCTGAGAGCAAACGGAGTCGCTGACCATCTCACTGGGGTGGAGCAGGAGGAATAAATGCACCAAAGGGCAATTCCGGGGGAAAAAAAAAAGAAAAAAAGAAAAAAAAATGTATGTTTTTGTGAAGTATTCCCATAAGAAATCTTGGAAAGTCAGAAGAAGGAAAAAAGATTCATTACGATCAAGGGCAACTGTGACAAACCCGGTTAAAGATCATATTGCCAGGGCTGCAAAACTGTTGATTTTGCTTCTTGGTTTTACTTCTGGTCTAAAGTCCACGGCTGTCATTGCTGCTGCGCACACCAATAACACGCGTGCGCTGTCCAACCTTTCTCCGGTGAATTTTCCTCTGGATCCGTGGGGTTTTTCCAAGCCTTTTGTTTCGGGGTTGGTTGTAAATATTACCCGGCCCTCCCGTGGGGTCTGGTTTTGTGTGTGCAATAAAGGGAACGATATCCAGGTGTGGAGAAGGCATCTCCATGAAGGAGATGTAGGAGGTTCCATGTGTGTCCGTGTCCCTCCAGCATTCACACGGCTGGACCTTGGCACTTGCTTGGGTGTTAACATTGTGCAAGCTGAAGTTACATAACAGGCAATACCAGCAAAACAGATTTCTGAAGAGAGCCAAAAGCCAAAAAGCTCTTTTTTTGTCAAGAGATTGCACTTTCCGAACGACAGATGTCCATGCATAAATACTGGCAAATGAAACTTTGGAAAATGGAGGACGTATTTAGGGACCTATTTTGAGCCACCAGTGGATTAGAGACATTTCACTCTTCCCCATTTCAGCAATGACATGTTGCAGAAGCTGAATTATCTTGATTGATTCGGTCTAACCGTTTGTTTTGCTCAACGCAGCCTCTTTTCATAATCTCCTGCCTTCCGTCTTCAGTATGGGATTGACTGGAGAAAGGAGCTGCAGCAAGAGCTAAAGCCAGAGCTTTAGCCCCATCCACGTTGACTCCTCTCACTAGTTTCCTGCACAAACACAGAATTGGGACTGTTTCCCTCCCCAGCTTCCTCAGACAATTCTAAATTTCTGTTCAGATCAAGAAATTGGGTAACTCAACCTTGCAGAAGATGCAAGAGGCCTTGGATGAAAGAAGCAGCAAAAGAAACCAGTGGAATTGATGGCTCATGATGCGTTTTAAACCTCCTGTCCCCCTTGGCTTTCACTCCTAAGGCTGTGGCCTCCTGAAGTCCTGAATAAGGAGTTATGGAATCATGAAACACGGGTGATCAAAGGGCACATGGAGCATCTGTCAGCGAGCAAACGAGGAGAGTCTTTAATTTGTTGCTTAGCACAGTGTTTCAGGGGAAAGAAAGGAGTTTGGCAGCTCTTGCTTTATTTTACACGCTGCCATTGGAAAATGTATGTCGAAAAATTGGGAAAAAAGGAGTCAGTAAGTGTATTTTTAAAACACAGGATTGAGGTTGTCCATAGAGGGTTAAACCTCAACTAATCCTAGAAGTTCCTAGACCGAACAGGGAAGTCAAGACACTTGAAGGGAACTGAGCTCCTTGATCATGGTTATGTTCAGCCTAACCTTCAGGTGCTTAACTAAACTTCTGCTATAGGAGCAGCCTGCCAAAACCATGCTCTGAATGTGGCCAGGAGTCTGGTGCTTATTCCTCAAGGAACAAGCCTGAAGATGAGGAAGATCATCCATATCTTCATGTGGATGCACACGTTCATCACGACGACACTATTAAATCAACAGCTGCAAGGTCTTCACTTTAACCCTGACGTTTTTATGTTCTGTTTTGCCTAGCAAAACGATGTGTTCATTCAAGGAGCCTAAAACAGCAAAGGAGGCTGCAGAGAAAGAGAAAAGTGTTGGTAACTCCTACATACATGACTGTGTGTCATGGCTATAAAATCAGGTTTGAGGCTGAGGCACTCTGTGCTCCGCAGGTGTTTCTAATAATGTGTCGTTCATGTGCTTTACCTTTTTGAGAAATTGTAAATCGTTTTGAGGAGAAAATTCCGACTTCATCTTGTATGAAGAAAACCCAAGGGTGTCTGAGCAGGCATTGAAAAAGAGCACGTAGTGCTGTTAGTTTTGCTAATGTAACTGAAATGTTGTTGATGTGTCTTCATTTTGCATTAATGCTTTTCTTTCTGTTCTTCTCATGTTCCTCCTCCTCATTAATGCCATGCATTTAACCCATTGTGCCCCTTGGTGGCTGCTTGTGTTTTATTTCCTTTTTGTTTCCCCCTCCGTTTAACTACCTGTTCATTTGCTTTGGAATGCTCTTTTGGTGCTGTATGAACCCAGACCCCATTGATCCATTAGAAGTTGATTTTTATCCTTTGCTTGACGATTTCCCTACCTCAGTCCCAGATATCTCCACCCCCATGCTCCCACCAGTAGGTGTCCAGGCCGTTGCGCTTGCCCATGACGCCGTGAGGGTCATCTGGGCAGACAACTCTGTCCCAAAGAACCAAAAGACAACCGAGGTTCGCTTTTACACCGTCCGGTGGAGAACCAGCTATTCCACGAGTGCTAAATACAAGGTGACATTTTATCACGTTCTGAATTCGTGAGCTGCTCCGCGCGTTTCGTTTGCAAAGACTCTAAACCGGCTTTTAGCAACGTCCCGCAGCCAGAATTCCCGTGTCGATCCGGTCACTCGGATTAGCCTGAGGAACTAGTGCTTGGAACAACCTAAGGCATTTGGCTTCATGAAAAAGCCATGTTTCAATTGAACTGCTGGAGCTTTGATTTTTACCAATTGGATTGAAATTAGGTAGTTGTGGACGTGCTAATGCAACAGGATGGCCCAGCAAGCAACCATACCATAAGGAGATTGAACCCGTATTAAACAAATACAGCCAAAATTGAGGTTAGTTTATTGGAAAACTTCTGCATTTGATTATGTATGACAGCAGCAGGGGTATGCCACTTTCCATATGTTTCTTTTTTAAGTCCTAATGTTAATAAAAGCAGCAGCAAACCAGGTAGGGTGCACAAATAGCTATGGTGAGACAGGGAGAACAAGCATGGAGTTTGGGCTGGTTTTTTGGCTTGTTTTTGTAAAATAAACCATCTCTGCACATCGTTGCTGTCCCTGGCACTCAGCACAGCGCCCTACCATATAGCATTTAAATAATTATTCATCCTTACCAGGAGTGAATGCTCTTGCCTTGGTCTTACCCCTGTTACCATGCTTCTCATGACATGATGAACAGCAGCAGCAGAAGACTTCTTAATAACCATAATTTTGCATGCTTTATGCAGCAAATCCTTGGGACTTGTTAACAGTTGTAATCAATTCTGTAATTAAGGACTGTGGAACAGCACAGTGTAGTAGTCTGAGTGCTCGAGATGATCCTTAATAGGACACAGACTTCCATATCCCACAATATGAGGAATATGGAATATGAGGAATAAAGAGAAAAACAGGACTGGAATGACCTTTCTTTTGCTATCATCTTTAATTGGCTCGTTGGGGAGGACCTGTAATGAGCTAGTCTGATTTGTTTACTCCGATTTAATCAACCAGAAGCAGAAATGAAAAATAACCATCTTAGAGAAGATTCCCTTTCTTGACATACAGAATTTTCAAGGAAACAAGGTGAAGCCTATTACGATATTTTTTTATTTTATTTTTTTAATTTTATTTTTTATTTATTTTACGATATTACAATTCTTTTCAGATTCTTCCCGTTCAAGTTTCCCATGGCTTCAAGAATGTTTATCAAATCGAACATAATGAAGGTTTTAGCCTTTCCCCATTGAAGTAAAAAAAAAAAATTAGGAGTTTAACTTAGTCCTGTCAACTTTATTTTGTAAAACTGGCCCAAACAGGCATGATGTAGCGTTATTAAAAGTCCTTGTTACAGTATATATCCCCTTCATCTCTATGTGATACTAACTTCAAGGATGTTTGAGACTATTGAAATGCTAATATTTGGTATAGAGCAAAGAATTCAAAGGAAAATACTCAGTTGGAGACAAATAACTTGCTTTTTACAAAAGAGAAACCAATGTCTTTATGTTCTGCTAAAAACTATTTTGTCCGGGAGGAGTCTTGACCCGCACTGGTTTTTTCTGTGAAATTCTCCCAATCATGGGTAATATCTGAGCACTTTCATACTGATAGCTATCAAATCTAGGTAGCCTCAATCATGCTGAACAGCATTTTCTGCCAGAAATCATTTTGTGCCTTCAAAAATACACTCTTCAGAGAAAATTAATATTATTTTGAAATTTGGCCTTGGGTTGAGGAATAATTTTTGTAAATGCTGACAGGTAGATCCTTCCATCTTTGGCCTGGCCGAGTAGTAACCTTTTATAAGGAGGCTTCTATGCTGGAGTCTTTGGACAAATAAGTTGGAAAACTGCTCATTTCCAAAGAGTAGGACCTTGAGTTGAGTATGACGATGATTAAATCTTATCTTGCATTAAGCCTTCCTTTTAAATAGCATGCAAAATATGCCAGAACACCCAGGATAAAACAACATACCATGCAGGCTTACCTTGTACATGCATTTATATTTCTCAAGAGTAAATTTCTCCCCATTCCCCGTGAAAATTACTGCTTTTTTCTGTAATACATTAGAAGCTGGATGCAGCATTTTCAATCAGGGGTCATTGGTTAATTTTGACTCATTCAGTTTGCTGAATACCAGCAAAGGATTCATCAACATCTTCAAAAGTGCGAGCATCAAGTTAGTCTTCTGATGCCAAGTCATATATATTATATATTATACAGATATATATATGTTATATACTATATATATATGTGTGTGTGTGGTTTTTTATATATATAATATATATTTAACCAAGCCAAAGTGCTTTGTCAGTACAAAAATACATCTTTATTCATGGGTCCTGGAGGTATCTTCAAAGAAAGACAAGTGTTCCAACCCCAAGAACTGGAAAGTCTTGGTCAGACTAGAGGCACCATTGTGTCTCTACTAAGAATCAGGATGTATTAAATATAGAAATATATATATATATATTTTTGAGAAGCAACCCATCAAAACCTGGAAATGAATATTTAAGTTATGGAAATGTTCCTATTTTTTGACTCATATGGGCACAGACGAAGGCCATAGTGTTAGCTTTCAATTTACATCTGAAAGAAAAGATGCATCACAAATTGCTTTGCCTGGAAAAAGAGAAAGAGGAAGCATCAGAAGAACTTATTTAAGTGTCTAAAGTACAGGCATCAAGTTTGGTATTGTACATATGGTACCAGAAGTAGGTCCATTAATAGTTCCAGGGGCAGTAGACCTATTCTGCTCAACAAAACCTTTCCTTTAGACCGTATTTTGCTTAGTTACAAGCAAAAAGGTGGCCTTAAAGATGTCACTCCCTGCTTCTCTTTGCAGTCGGCGGACACGACAGCCCTGAGCCACACGGTGATAGGCCTCAAGCCCAACACCATGTACGAGTTCTCCGTCATGGTCACCAAGGGCCGGCGCTCGAGCACGTGGAGCATGACGGCCCACGCCACCACCTACGAAGCAGGTTGGTCAAGACTTGCTGACACGACCCTTTTCTCCTTTGCTATTCGTTTATTTGCTCTTAATTATATTCCCCAGCGTGTAAATCATTAAAAGGAGCCATCAAGTTTTGGAACTCAGGGTACGTTCCGCCCCATAAATCCATATAAATACACTATACGACTTCCAATGTTAGTGGTTTAAACCACTTTCCTGCTAAGAACCAGAAAAAGAAGCCAAGTGAGACATCTTTTCAGCCTCTTCATTATTTAATGCAAAGACACAATTATCTCCTCTGTAGAACACGTTATCTTGCATTAAGGTCCTTCTGACTGGTCGGATATGGCATCTTTCACACGCTCGATGTCTTTACGCATCTATATTTAATTTCCAGCAAATGGCCATCATTAATATTAACAATATACTTATAATAAATAAATACACTTTACGGATTTTATATAGCTGCTATTCTCAGATGCTCCAGTGGTATTTTTCAAGTCAAAAGCTATTACCTGCAAACTACTTCAGATTCTAAATGCAATTTTCAGACACCAGATGCATATTGCACTGTTTTGATGGAATAAAAATACTTGAAGGTAGTTTTGCTTAGAATATGGGTAAGAATACGCTTAGAATGGGTAAGAAAGTAGTTTTGCTCAGAATATTTTTCTTTTTCAGCCCTTGTAAATAGCAATCCACACATTTGGACACCAATGTAATGAGTACTGTATTTTTCCAGGGGTGACTAATGGCCTTGAAAACACTGTAGGTACCATTACAAATCAGGGTCTACCAACAGCTCCCAAATAAAGTCTGCTGGTAAATATTGATTTGTTTTTTGTTTTGGGTTTTTTTAATGAAAACCACAGTACACACCAGTTAATTAACCGAAGGAAAATAAGAGGGGATATATGTGTCCTTAGATCGTCCCGTGCGATCGCAATGCAATTATCTGAGCTTGATGGAGCAGCTCTGTTAATTAAGGGCATCCTGCATTGCTGATCTTTATTGCCTCTTTTGTACCCATTCTGCATGCTGGATTTCCAGGGATGTTCTTTAAAAACGTTTGTATCAGCATCAGGAATCTGCTAGAGGTTACCAACATGGGCGAGGAGGAATTTTTCTGCCCCTAATGTTATATATAAGCTCTAAGTTATCAACAGCCTGTATCAAAAATCGAAGCATTTGCAGTCTAAAATGTCCAAACTTGAGCATGTAGTTGCTAAACATACACAGTTGCATTTCATCTTATACTAGTAGGTACATAAAGATGTTCTGAATGGAGCTCCCTAAGTGTATTAGATACCCTTGAATACCACGATGATTATTTAAGGACAATATTAGCTGTGGGAGGAGAATTCAACAAACCCTTACATATTGCCACTTACAAATCATACATTACACAGTTGAAATGCATCTAAGAACGCTGCATTTGAAAGGATCTAAGAAAGCAGTAAATGCCTTTTGAGTGGTTTATTTCTGCTCTAGTATTTGAGGAGCTCCAGGGTAGGTGGATAACTTCTGATTTCAATAATTTTCTTTCTTACCAGCTCCAACCTCTGCGCCCAAGGATTTGACAGTCATTACACGGGAAGGGAAGCCCCGAGCTGTCATTGTCAGCTGGCAGCCACCCTTAGAAGCCAATGGCAAAATTACTGGTAAATGTTTATTTTATCCCGCATTTCCATTTTCCTGTTGTGAACATTCAGTGCTTGTCTTCCCAGAACCCTATCCGTTCATTTCCAGAATGCTGTTTGATCTGACTTTATTCTTTTCTTAACTTTTATCGTCCTGCTTGGTCAGGGAGTCAATCAGTTAGAAATACTGCAACATTCAAAACTCAGCGGATATAAATCTTGTATTTTTTGATGCTTAGAATGCTCATATAAGTTAAAAATGCAGCATTTTAAGCAAAGGTTTCGGGTTTGTGCTGTGCAATGGTAATTAGGAATGACTAATAAGTACTTTGGCAATAATGCAATATGTAATATACTTAATGATAGGTTGCTTACTGCTTGCACATAATGGCAGGATTTACTGATAGATATTTAGCTATACAATAACAAATTAAAGCAATGATGATCAGCAAAAAATAATATTGACTGACAAGAGCTGAACCTAATGGTTACTTTACAATGACAGATTTTATTTTCCAAAATATCGGATATAACCTTGGCACCCGATTAAGACATCCATTACAAGCCCATAATGTTAATTTAGTATGAAAAATAAAGTTGCGTTCTATGTGAGATTTTGCATTTAAATGTTCACTGGAGGCTTTAATGGACATCTCAGAGGCATATAATTATTAGGAGAAATATTGTTCAACCTCAGGAACGTGCACGTTGTGGTCTCATTTCCACAACCAATTGGCTTGGGCAAGTTCTACAGCGTATTTTTTTGTGTGGGAGCAAGCGTGGATATGTCACCAGTGCTATTAATAATCCCAGCTACACACTGCTGAAGTGCTGAGAAAAATAAAGGTAAGAGCAAGAGTGCTTCAAAATAATGTCCCGTGTGAGCAATTAGAAGCAAAGAGCCCTCGATTCGATTTTCAGCCATTGAAAATCAGTGTGGCTTCACAGACATCAAGTGAGCTATTGTGAGTTACGCCGGGAAAATATCCCACTTTATCTGGCCAATAAAATAAAGATATATTTCTATTTGATCACTGCCCTGCAGTAGCAGCTTTTTGATTAGACTCACCCAGTGAATAATGTGTGTTTGTGAATGTGTATTAAAATGTGTGTAATATAACTATGTTATTAAATAATTTCACATATAGTATGATTCTAATACATTATAATGAGGTTACATTCAGTGACCATGTCCAAAAGGAGGATATTTCAATGAAATGGTTCTGTTTACATTAGCCTAATTTAATTACTTGGCGAATTGGATCAACGCGTTTTCCTGCCCGCACCAAGTCTCTGCTGCAGAAAAACAAGAGCAAGTTCCCCTAGTGCTTTGACTTACCAGAACTCTTGAGTTTGGGGTTCTTTGCTCTTTTTCTCCAAGTATTTTCCCATAAAATTGCCAAGAAATACTGCATGGCTTCTCGTGAGCCCCCAGTAAATGATGGGCATCATCAGCACCGTTGGTTTTATTGCGGCCCTGAAGCTCTAAAGACTTAGACCGTAGGGTTTATGATGCCTATCAGACTGAATCGTGCACCTGAATTACTGTTTTTTAAAACGAACGCACTCAACGTTCACAAATCTGAATTTTGTGCGCGTTTCGTAAAGCAAACAGCTTAAATCTGATTTAAGAACTAACTGAGAGACTGTGTTTATCCAGCTTACATCCTCTTCTATACTTTGGACAAGAATGCTCCCATCGATGACTGGATTATGGAGTCCATCAGCGGGGACCGACTCACCCACCAAATCATGGACCTCAGCCTCGACACCGTCTACTACTTCCGAATCCAGGCTCGCAATGCCAAAGGAGTGGGGCCTCTCTCCGATCCCATTTTCTTCCGGACGCTGAAAGGTTTGCCACTTTGTCATATGGATGTTAAAGATACGTAGGATCCTCTTATGCCTTGGTTGGAGCTTTGTAATTAATTCCATGTCAGCTAGGAGAAATCCCACGACTTATTGCAAGATAAAAGCCAATGGTTGACAAAAGTCACCGATGTAACGAGGTGGCAGCTCTATTTTTAAATCCAATCAACCAGGCGAAACATTCCGACGCCACCCAACTTTCCCATCAGGAATAAAGCTAATTGGATCTGACGGGGTTTCCCTAGGGAGATACCTCTGCGTTGCGGATCCTGATCCTCTTGTTAATTCCATGTCAGCTAGGAGAAATCCAATGAGATGAAAGCCAATGGTTGACAAAAGTCACCCATGTAATGAGGTGGCAGCTATATTTTTAAATCCAGTCAACCAGGCGAAACATTCCAACACCACCCAACTTTCCCATAAAAGCTAATTGGATCCGAGGGGGTTTCCCTAGGGAGATACCTTTGCGTTGCGGATCCTGATCCTCTTCCTGAGTGACCAGTTTTGTTGGTTAGTGCTTCAATATGTGTTTTATTAGGGCAGGCTGCATTTCGAGTCGACGTGGAGTGAGATGCCCCCGTGCAAAGGCCTGGCGTGATCTCCCCGTAAATTAATAGTTAGCAAGATGTAAGCAATATCCCTGCGAGTGGGAAGCAGGATTTTGGCAGCAGCTCTGCTTATATTTTAGCTGTCACTCGTTTCTCATCGCAGAAGATAAAATGACTTCAAGACAGACATGTAATTACTGATAAAAGAAATCCAATGGCATAAACGGCGGGCCTGTTCTAGGAAGCATGGCATTCAGGAGAACATTGCCTTGCTTTGCCTTTTCTAAAGAAATTCCAGGGATTTGTGTATGAAAGGAGCATTCTGGCAGGAAATAACTGGCCCTGGAGCTAGGTCAGGCTTGAAAGGGGCCGGTGCCAACTTAATTTCATGCTCGTGGTTTGGACCCAAGTCTCAAACGAGTCCAAGCATCAACATGTAACAGCCGCCGACTAATGGGATAGCAAAAGATGCAGAGACCCAGAGATCCAACTAAACGGAAAGATTAATGGGCTGGATAGCACCTACTTGGTAATGTTTACACAGAGCCCCATAAAACTCATTTGGGAAATGACTAGCAGATCAGACAGCATCAACAGCTACCAAAAAGATAAATCCATAATTTGTTACATCTTGTAATAGCCTACGAGGACTATGTCTAATACCCCGCCATGAATATTTCATGATATCCACCCTAAATATGTCATGTTCAATCATATCCAAGTGTTTTTTGACAAATCTGCCTCTGCATTTGAGGTGAAAAGACCTTCTGAAGCCCTGAGTGCATGCTGAATTATGCAAAGATCCTGGTTTCCTGCCCTTAATGATTATTAACAGAATATGGGCACGTGCCGTGTGCTAATAAAGGCTCTGATAGCAAATCTATGTCCTGATCAGAGGAAGTTTCTAGACTACAAGGAACTAAATAAGCATCAAAGATGCACGAAGTCACCCACGGTCTGATTTTATATATTGTAGCACATAAAGCTCCTTCAAGGGAACCAAACCACGACGTGTGGTAGAATTGCAATGTGAGTATTTGGAGTGACTTGCCTCTGCTAATGAAAACGTAGCCATCTGTGAGAAAAATAGATATGTTTAATAGTAAATAACAGGAGCAATGAGTTCATGTGCTTCCAGCTCACTTGCACGGATAATAATACACAGTCAAATGGGCAAATCCTTGCCTTGTTGTGCTGTGGACTCTTTTATATTTACATTTATATATTCTTCTGTAAATATTTTGCAGGGGGGTTGACCTAGATGGTCTCCAAAAGCCCCTTCCACCCTCAGTCGTTCTGTGGCAGATGCCCAAAATAATATGTGTACGTTTTGCAGCTTCCCATAGCAAATTGTCATGGATTTCCCCTGTCATAAATAGTCATAAATAGAGGTTGTAGCTGAAGTTGTAGCTTTTAATATACCTATTGAGTTTTGAAGTCTTGTCTGGTGCTCTTCAGACAGGTGCTCTTCTGGTTTCTCTAACTGTCTTGTCTTTCCCTTGCAGTGGAGCATCCTGACAAAATGGCCAATGACCAAGGTACAGTGTCCCCCGCGTGTCCCCCGTGCTCCCACGGGCCAATTAATCCCACTAACGAAGCTGGGGAAGATGTAAATTTTCCAGAGAGGAAAATGTTCGGTCTCATTTTGGAAGGACCAATTAAAACATCAGGAAATTAAGTCCTGGGCTCTCTGCTGCACTCCTGAATAATCCACCCTAGGGATAATGAAGCTCAGGCTACTCTTGCACCTCTTGGAGGGTTCCAGATTTAAAGTAATTTGAGTATTTAACTTTTTAAAGGCTAAATGTACAGCATAGAACTAGGAGTATACAAATGAGAAGATTAAACACCAGTTGGGCTCCATGTGAGCGCTCAGCAGTGGAAAATGGCAGTTTTGGAGCTAAATGTTGCTCCTTTAAAGACAAAACGTGGTAGCTGACAGGCGAATTTGCCAACATGTTGACACTCCAAATATTTCCAAGCGGGAAACGTTGAGGAACGTTGAGGAAACCGAGGAAAGGCAGCGACACAATGTAGAAGCCCCATGCTGCACGTCGCAGCACCCGTGGTGGGTTCCAGCTGTGCACATTGCACATCTGGGCCCGAGCCGGGAGCTGTTATTATCTAAGAGCAATTAAAGGCTGGGAAGCTGCCACCGGCGTCTCCCGTGCAGTGTTTGCAACCTCGTTAATGAGTTAATGAGTATAAATTGCCATTAGACCCGGGGAAGGTTTCCAGCGGCTCCCTGCGAGCTGCTGTGGAGGCTTCCTGAAGTCTCAATAATTCCAGTGTGGAATTCTTTAGTCTGGATTTTGGCAATATAGGGCTTGTGGATAGCCACGTGCTGCCGTAGGATGAGATTCGTGCAAGAGCTAGAAAGCCAATTTTGGTGTTTGGCCTGATAACTTCCATGGTGAATTTTGATAAAAGGCAACGTAAGTAGAAACAGGACACCCAAAACGATGGGAAATGCCTGTGAGATGCCCGGTGTAGCCAACGGGACACCCAAAAAGATGGGAAACCCCTGTGAGATGCTCGGTCCAACAGGACACCCAAAACGATGCGGCTCCCTGCTACATTTTTGGCATCCCAACTGCATTTCCTCATGTGTTAGGCTCCTCTTGAGCCATTTCAGCTTGGCCTAAATATCCAAAACAATAACATTTAGCCAGCTCCGTTGGGACACCCAGTTCCCCAGGCATAGTGTGGCCCCAGAGTCACATCATTTTCACGGGTTGCAGCAAGGGCTGCATCAAATTGTCATTTTGATAAACTCTCTCGCCTCCGTTTATCTCTATTTTGCCTTGTTTTTGCCACTGAACGTTTCCCAACGTCGCTTTCGCGGGCCCGGGTTGTTGCAGCGGCGCAATTACTCTGATTGAAAAGATGATTACGCCGAAGCCTCCCCTGATGATAATGATCCTACGTTTATTTAGGGCCTTTCATCCAAAAATCTTTCCCAAACGGCGAGGCAAAGTTATGCACGTGATTTTCTCCCCAATCTGCAGAAACACAAACACCTCTGCTGAGAAACAGGAGGTTGTTTAATGACAGGGAGCCGAGATGATGGGGTTTGGCTGATGCCAACGAGCGATTCGAGGCAGCTCGGAGCCCCTGGAATTAGGAGCCTGCTGGGATAATCCCTGGGAACTCCTGGCCTCGTGCTGGTTTTCCATATTTTTCACCCGCACCGTTCTCCTCGCCGTTCTCCACGTGCTGGCCATGGGCTGGGATGGCTGGGGTGGCCACGGGGCTCATGTCCTTCTCTTCTGCACAGGGCGTCACGGAGATGGCTCCTACTGGCCCGTGGACACCAACCTGCTCGACAGAAGCAGCCTGAACGGTAAAGAGCGACCGCAACCTGTTCCTCGTTACGCTCCGTTTCGGTGGTCACCTCCTGGTTTCTCTTTCCTTCCCTCTTCCTTGGGCTCCTGGGGTGGAGGTGACCACCAAAGTTCAAATTGGGCTGCGTTTGGTGCAAGAGTTCCAAAGTGCATTTCACGTGGCTGCAGCTTTGGTGCAAAGTACTGTTTTTACCCATTAGTCCTGCCCTGAAATAGGAAGAAATGAGAGGAAAACAGATTGAAAAAAACAGAAACAAAGGCAAAAAACCCCTGACCCTAATTGCTATTAGCTGAGGTATAAAAGTGCCATCAGTAACTTCTCCTTCCTGACCCCATCCCCGTTGCCTAACGAGGCGCTCTCTTTTAGTGTCATTGAAGGAAAAAAGCAGGCAGGATTCCCTAAAATGTGACACCGTGTCGGCGTTGAAAGTACAAAATAATTACAAGGAACCACGCTGATTAAGTCAGGCTGATTATTTTGCCTCAGACAAAACAAGGAGTGAATGCAAAATTTAGTTCTCTCTTGCTGCGGCCAATATATCCCAGGTCTGTAATATAGCCTTACTCCCTGCTCTTAATAGTAATTCTTAAATAATGAAAATCCGCTGCATCTAATTACTTTTTTTTTCCTTTTTTTTTAACTGAAAAGCATGAAGTTTGGCTTGTTTGGGCCCTAACTTTAGCAGGGATAATAGGAGAGCCCCCAGATGCAAACTGGGGTACCCTGCACTGCAAGGGGAGAGATTCCGGAGCTCTTGGGAATTATTCCATCCATGCCATTTATTCCGCATGGAAACCAAGAAGAAACCAAGAAGAATCCAAAACCAAGAAGAATCCAAAAGCTCTGAGCTTCGGAGCGCCTGAGGAAGCGCTGCGAGAAAAGGGCACATTATTCCAGTAACTTAATTTGTTAAGTAAAGAAAGGATAATAGGTCAGAAAATCAAGGCAGAAAATGAGAGTGAAATTACATCTATCACTAACTAGAACTGTTATTCTGAAAGCTTTGACCTTTTTTTCGGTTCTCATTCAGCTGTAGTAATGGCAAAATGAAATCACAGCCACATGCTGTGTAGTTGGAACCAAGGAAGCTCCGGGGGGTGATGCCGTAGGAAAAGCTCGTGGAAATGCTTGACATCCTGTAGCTCTTCTGAGAGCTCCACTGAGTTCTCCTGAACATCTATTTTCTTTCTCCAAGCTGAAGTGGAAATATGTATTTCCAAAAATGAGCTTCCTCTATGTGGATATTATCCATATATGTGAAGGCAATCCTTCAAACCAAATGGCAATGGTGTCCTGCTAAGCAGTTGTCCACCCGGGCATCAGATAAGCATGAGGTTTCTCAAAAATGATGACCTTGCAGTGATCATAGAGGAATTCTTGTGGCATAAAATATTTCTGGCCTCTTTCCTCTCTGTTATCCAAAGGAAAACGTGTCCACATAACGTGATGGCCAAAATCTATGGGGGTTTCCCTCATTAGCCTACCTCAGACCAGAGCTTCAAACCCACCGCTAACGCTCTCCTCGTTGTGTATGTCCTTCCAGAGCCTCCCATCGGGCAGATGCACCCTCCGCACGGCAGCGTGACGCCGCAGAAGAACGGCAACCTGCTGGTCATCATCGTGGTCACCGTCGGGGTCATCACGGTGGTGGTGGTGGCCGTGGTCGCCGTCATCTGCACGCGGCGCTCCTCGGCGCAGCAGAGGAAGTACGTGGGCTCGTCGCGGCGCGGATGGTCAATGGGGTCTTGGTGGCCTTGCCAACACTTGGCTTCTAAGTAGCTACAGGCCACGTGGAGTCCAGGGGCTGGATGGTGGTTTTGATCCTGGTTCTTCGGTGGCTTTGGCGTGGCCTTGGGAAGCTGGATGTAGGTTGGAAAGGACCTCTAGAGATCATCTAGTCCGGTGAGTGGAGAATGTCCTGTGTCCCCTGGAGCACAACGTAAACCATGGCAGATAAGCACCTCCAACCTTGAGAAACAAGTCTACCAGGTACAGCTCTACCAATCTGCCTGTTGTTGGGTTCAATTCAGACACAGGGAAGATTTAAAGGAGAAAAATGCACTTATCCGTGCTCGCTGCTAGGTTTTCTGATCCCCCAGCTCTGCACGGAGGAGGATCACGGTCGTTCCTGCTTATTGCTAACCCTTTGCAAGGATGTTACCCCCTCTAGACAGTCAGTCCCCAAAAGTCTTTCAGCCAAAGGAGCCAACGTCTGTTTCTCCAGATGGTTCTCATGTACTTGGAGGAAAAATCTGTAGAGCTTTTCTTGGAAGAAAAATCCATGGGATGTTATAAAAGCACAAAGCATTTTGCAGGTTTTTGAGATGAAATCAGAGGTGACATCAAAGGCTGGTGAGAGATGAAGTGGTTCCACTGGAGTCAATGGATCGGCAACAGAGCTGGGTTTGATACGTTTAATTTATTGAAAATTATTCAGTAAAGGGATACATTATGGTGCTATTGCAAAAGATTGGACATGTGAAAGTAAAATTTAATCATATTTTGCCCACAAGGATGATAGATGTTCGGACTAAGAGCAAGACAAAATCTATTACATTGATTTGCATCGATGCCTAAAAAAAAGGGTGGAACGAATGGTCAGAGGACTGAGCAGTTCCTATGTGGGGAGTATTCCCTAGCCAGGATTGCTTTATTTTCTGCTTTTTTTGCCCTTTTTTTGTGTATAACCTCCAGGCCACCAGCATCCCATGGGGCCAGGCTGAGCATCGACCTCTTCTGCGCTTCCCCCAGGAGACCTGGTTATTTCTGGGCTCTTCAGATACGGAATTCTTAAATTGTTACTTAAAAAAACAAGCCCAGCGGAGCTGTTACAACTCTACCTGTGTTCCCCGGGGGGTTGTAACTATAAAGTGCAGGCAATGAAGAATAATGTCCCCCCAGCTGACTTCAGCATCATAGCGTGCGAGTTGTAGCTATTCTTAACACTAAGGGAGGGCTAATAGACCCAGCCAGGGACCAGGCCCTCTTCTGCTTGTGCTGCAGAAATAGACAGCAAGGAATCTCCTCACCAAATTTTATTTATTTACCAGGTGCATTATCCAGTTCTGCTGTCGTTGCATGGGGTTGCGTGACCACAATGTACTTTTTAAGAGAGCTGAACTCTATTTTTACATGTACCTTGGGGGAAAAAAGGAGCAGAAGTGCAAGTTCTGCACTGCCCAAGCAAGCCACGCTATGGGGTGATTTGTTTCCATATGTTATTAATGACCTTTTCGGGTGCGCTCCGATGCGATTTGCTACTCATTGCTGTGAGAACATCAATAATTTGGGGGAAAAAGAGACAGTGTAAACCAGATCGTTGCATATATTTTTAAAAGCTATCACTGCTGTAGCAATTTTGTAGTTACGGTTGGAATGACACATTCATTATATCCCTCTATTTACAGTTGTGTATAAAATTACTTTGGGGCTGAAATTCCCCTTGCCTAGCTCAAGCCTGGAGAAATGAATTCTTTGCAATTGAACCTGACAAAAAAGCTGTTGTATCCCAAAGTGAAGAGAATAATTCCTTGTTTAGAGCAAAAATTGTAGGACTTTTTTTTTTCTTTTTTATCTTTTGGATGAGATAGAACAAAGCAACTTCTTAACTTCAAGCAGGACATACATTATGGATTAAGTGAAGGTGCTTGTTGTTATTCTCCTAATTGCTAACCAGGAGGCTGTGCTGGGTTCTGTTAGAAGGTATTAAAGAACTTTCCCTGTTTGTATGTGCTTTTGCTTTGCTCTTAGAAATACTCTAATTTTCAATAATCAAGTTTTGGCAGGTAGAGAACAGCAAACTGAACATAGCGAGTAGACCAGAGATGAACTGTCTCATTCCATGGGAGCTGAGTAAGTTCAGAAGTCTCTGAAGAACCCCAGGCTCATCTTCCCTGCTGATTTTCCAAATGCCCTTTGAAAACAAAACGTTGGACCTCCAAGAATATTCAGGATGTTGAACCAGTCATTTCTAGATGAGGCTCAGGAGATTTAGCGAGGAACAGAAGTTGATTCCAACTCTTGGACCTTCTTCAGGTCTCGAACGTTCTCAAAACCGTTTCCTATCAAATAGTCTCCTTGCCTCAAGAAGAGAAGCTCTTCTTGACCAACTGCTTAAAGCAGCCAGGTTGTAGAGAGCTTCCAGTGTCACCTAAGCAGGGACAAAGCTCCAGCATTGCCACCCATCACACCGACCATCTCCAGCCCCAGTCCAAGGACCTGGGACTTCGTTTTGGCAGCGGCTCTTGCTGTGACCAACTGTCCTCCCCAGGGAAGGGCATGTTGAGCAAAGGGATTCTCTACAGCGACGCTAAGAAGTTGTCTCTGCATATCTGCTCTTTTGGTTCCACCAAAAATGGGAATATTCTGACCTGTCCTGGTTGTGATTTGCCGTAGGAAACGCGCCACCCACAGCGCAGGCAAGAGGAAGGGCAGCCAGAAGGACCTGAGGCCTCCGGATCTCTGGATCCACCACGAGGAGATGGAGATGAAGAACATGGAAAAGCCGGCGGGCTCCGAGCCCGCGGGGAGGGAGTCCCCCATGCAGGGCTGCCAGGACATGGCCCCCGTCACCCACAGCCAGTCCGAGACGCAGCTGGGTGCCAAGACAGCCCCGCAGCCAGGTAATGGAAGGAGAGGTCACTAAAAGAGGCTTTCAGATTCCTGAATGGATCTATTTTTTTTTATTCTCTGCCATTGCTATTCATGAGGATGATTGTGGAGGTGATTTGTGGTGTTTTTAACGTGAAAACACAAACAAAAGGTGCCCTCTGCCCCAGCAGATACCGTTGGTGATCAGGAGACGTGACCCAAGGCCCAGAGAGATCGATGGGAGAGATCCATTGATTTCCATGGGCTTTCCATCAAGTGCATGGCAGGAAGTCCTCACAACACTGGAGAAAATGAATGGCAAAGGCTGGGCTAGATGGTTTGCACGTAAACGCCTTGGGCTATAAACAAATACTTTTTTATTGCTTGCCGTTGAGTGACACTGTCCTCGGTTTTGTAGTAGCCATTAGGCCTTAGAGTGGCCATTGATATTTCATCCTGAAATTCACAGCAGCAACATTTTAAAAGATATCTTTTCTAAGCAGATTGTTTTAAGGAGTGTGTGTTAGCTGGGGAGCATCGGATATGAAGAGTCTGAGTGAATATTAAGTTTATAGCATGACAATCTGATTTAGGCAGTGGTTTATTAAAACAGGAATTGTAACGTTAAATTATGTTTGCGGGAGACAAAGTATGAAGCAAGAAATACAGCTTCTGTTTCACTGGCATTCTCTGCTCCCTGTTTTACCATTTCTGGACTTGGATTTCACTTGCAACAAGATGTGGCACTTCCAACTAAGCTGTCGTGTGGCTTTTTCCCTAGCTCCTGAGGCAGAAGAGGTTGGAAGCAGCATGTCCACACTGGAGCGCTCGCTGGCTGCCCGCAGGGCCACCCGTGCCAAGCTCATGATTCCCATGGATTCGCAGCCAAACAACCCCCGTGAGTACCAGGACCGTCCCCTGGTCCTCTTGCACATCCTGCAGCAGTGACTGATCCATCTCAGGGCTTCCTACTGCCTTACAAATATGATCTAGTGTTTAGCAGCCACGTTTTCATCTTCTGAAGAAGACGATAATGCTCTGGAAGCTTTCCAAGGCTTCCCGATAAATTAGTGGAAGAATTCTGTAGATAATTCAGAAATAATGCCTTTGCTAGACCCTGCAAAGGCCAAGTGTAGCACTGAAGGGTTGTGTTTTTGCCAGGTGACGTGCAAGTCCCTCTATTTCCCTGCTCTGAAACTATAAAACCTGGCATAATTGCTCAAGCCAGCAGAGCTTGCTTAGGTGTCAGCACACCTAAGTAAATAGTTTAAATCAGAAAAAAACACGAAAAAAGGAACATTTTGGGGCAGAAATCCATTTTCTTGCAAAATTTCTCTAAAGCCCTGATAGTTATATTTAAGTATATAAATGGGGTGGGTTTAGAAGGGCGCAGTGCAAATGATTTATTATAGAAAAATGCATGGAATTGAATGAAGTAGAGGAGGGGAAGTGACCTGCCATGCCTTTCTTTAGTAAATTACTGGGTAGGAGCTGGTAACTGCTCTTTAATCTGTGTTCACCATGGGTGCAGTTCGGGTCATGCTGCGAACTCCAAGTAACCAGCCCTTAAGAGGGTAAGGGGTAAAAGTACTCTTAAAGATTTCTAGGTTTTCCAGTAATTTTCGAGTAAATTTCTAGGTTTTTCTAGGCTTTTTGCGTAATGATGTCCTCTTTTCTATTTTCTCCAGTATAAATCTCCAGCATAAATCTAATCTCTGGAGACACAATATTATGGTTTGGAAATAATTGGACTCAGATTTGTAAAAGTCTTATTTGTTCGTTTCAGGCTTTTCCCAGCAAATAAAATCGAGGTTTTTGTCAGGTTATATGTAATTAATCTCTCTCAGTTTGCCAGATACTGAAAGAAATAGGCAGCAATAAGCTATTAACTAACTTGAAGAAGCACCATCATAATTCTAAAGTATAAAACTCATACTTTTAAATGCTCAGTACCAAATCTAGAAGTATTTGTCAACGTCTCAAATAATCACTATTTGCTGTTTTGGGGAAAAATATCTACCCATAATGGGCCTTTGCTTAGTAAAGTGGAAGGAGCATAAAATAGGCTTTAGTGATCAATTTGAGACTTCTAATTACACTGTAAGAGCAGCATGATTGTGATTCTGGAGTCTCCTTCTAATTCTGCCTCTGATGGAGGAAACTAAAGGCCATTTTGGAGGGACTTCAGGAACCAAGGGCTTTCTCTCCCACAAAGGTAACTCATGCAAGGATGAAACTGGGAAATCTTAAATTAAATATCACATCTCATGGTCATGGCATGCTCTGGTCAGCAGGGAAGAAGGTACCAAGGCTGTTGGGTGCAGAGGAGAAGACCTCAAGGACAAGGAGAACTTGAAGGTTTCTCATGGACATCGGCCCTTTTCCTCCCATAACATCTAACGAAGCCCTGCCCGTCGTTTGGAGGCTCAGCTGCCTTCAGGGACACTGTAAAATGAAGCCAAATGTCTTTAATCCCAAATCCTTCTTTGCATAGAAGGTGGTTAAAAGTGGTGACAATGTTCACAGAGTAAATCCATTTGGAAAGAGAGTTTGCCTCTGTTTCTGGGAGGTTTTGGTTTTTTCTCTTTTTCCTGTGTTTTCTCCTCCCTCAAACTGCAGAAAATCCCAACTCCTTCTATAGGAGAAATCTGATTGTGTTGCCTCCATGGCTTCGGCAGCCTCTGGGGTGCTTGAATGCAATTTAAAATGTTCTACTTTGTCATTTCTGGAAGCTGTTTTTGGGTGCTACATTTTTGCATGATGCAGTACCCTTTAGATGTAGAACAGCGTTTTGGGAGCTCCATGATTTGGTCAGGGAATTTCTGTTTTTAGTGTCTTAGTATATCAATAGTACATATAAATTCAATTGCTGACAGACTATGACAGAACAGATTTGCTGTCATATATGCTCAGAACTGCAAAGATTTATTGAAGCTGTTTGATGTTAACTTTTCCCCAGCTTCCCTGCAATAGAGCGCTGCGGTGAATAATAATTTGGACTTATTTTTAAAAAGAAAGTACTAGGTGTCTATGCAGCAAAAAGAAATGAAGGAATCGACTTTTACAAAAACGTTTTTTTAATAGGATTCAATAAAGAATGATTTTTTTTACTCTAATAACAAGGTTATAAATATTGTCCATAAAAGTCCAAAGTCCAAAGATCCTCCTCTGAGGTTGTGTGAGTTGAACCCAGACAACTCTGATGTTCAGATCACTCCAGTTACTGGTTCTTCATGAGTTTTGTATGTACTTGTCCAACAGATCTGGAAATACAGGATTTTGCCCCAGAAAATCATGTTTTTACCTCTCCCCCCAGCAGAGCATCATTGCTCCTTGAGTGACCTTGGGCAAATTGCCCAGTTTGCTGCTCCATGTAATAGATATAAGTAAGACCTGGAAGTAATTAGAATGACTATCTTGATGGCTATTTGTGGCACTATTTGTAATTCATGTGTGAAAGGTGCTATAGAAGCCAAAACTTACGAGTTTTGCCTCATGAGTTGGCCATCAATGAGCCAAAAAATCTCCTTGTGTTATTCATCTTTCCCAACTTTCCTAAGGGTTTTTCCCAAAAGCTACACAGAAGTTCATGCTTGATATAGGACAGCAAGTGCTATACTGACTATCAGCAAGTTTCCATGCCCTGACCAAGGGATAATTCCCAGGAAAGCCGGAATTTGGCAAGCTGTGATCCTGGTTTCCAAATTAAATGGCACCAAAGGGCTTAGGCAACCAAACCAAGCTCTAAAATGGATTCATCGCTTCTCATCTATCTGTCAAGAAGGCAGATAAAGAACCCCCAAATATATTTTACACTGAATCTGTAGAAACTTTATTTTGGAAATGGGGTGATTTCTGGTTTATCTTGACTCTATCATCACATTTCCAAATTTTGCACGTTTAATCTCCGCTTTCCTTCTTTTCTTCTAGCCGTGGTCAGTGCCATTCCGGTGCCAACGCTAGAAAGCGCCCAGTATCCCGGGATCCTGCCGTCTCCCACCTGTGGATACCCACATCCCCAGTTCACCCTTCGGCCCGTGCCCTTCCCAACGCTCTCCGTCGACAGGACCTTTGGAACGGGAAGAAGTCAGTACAGCCCTTTGCTTTTGGTTTTCTTTGCTTGGGAATAGGTGAACCTGGTGGAAACCTGGTGGCAAATGCTTGGGAATAGGGGAACCTCAGTTGTCTCTTCTCTAGAGTGACTCCTAGATTCATATTTGCTCCTGTGCCATAACAGATCTGGCTTTTCCGCGTTCCCATATCTGTTCTTGAGCTTGCCAGGATCCAGGAAAATGGAAAATGAGCAGCACGTTCCCCAGCCTCACCTTCATAAGTTACTTCTGAGCATCTTCTGCACTGACAACCATCTGTTCTTTGTTCTAACCTAATGAATGTGCTCTGGCATATTAATTATAGTTGGAGGGCTCATATTTTCTTATCATTCTCCCTTAACTCTACTGCATATCAAGCCTGAATTATTGACAGATTAATGTCAATCTGCTACACACACTCTTTTTCACATCACAGAGAGTCTGGGCTGCTGGTCCACAGGGAAATAATTTCAAAATGACTGATTTTTCCTCCGATTTGATTGCTGCTTTCAGTGAGCTCAGACAGGTCCTTTGGGGCCGATGATTGAAACGTGAGCAGAGGGATCACAGGTAAAAGGTGGTTTTGGGTGTTCTGTTCATCACCCCAGTGTCGTTTCCCCTCATGTTGATGTGCTGCCTGAGATCCTTTCACAACTAGATGGCAATTTCCTCTGGAGGGCCGGGCTGGCATAATGAGTTTTTGATTTGCTGCTTAAATTAATATCAAATTCACCACAAATGCGATGCGCAAAAAAAAAGGCATTTTGGTTGACGTGCACTAGATGTTGAATAAAAAATGCACTATCCTGCACGTAATCATGGAGATGGGAATGAAATTGTACACTGAATTGTTTGGTCTTTTTTTCTGAAACACTTTGGAAGGAAAAGTGCTGTAAGTTTGGTGCACATCTGAGGTTCTTCAGGCTGCAAATCCTCATGTGTGGCCTCTCAGCTTTGAGCCCATCAAGCACCTCCACATCCAGATGTGCCTTTTAAGTGGCTCCTACAACGGCAGATGTTTCCCCAGCTTGGCAGATCTTGGTCAGTATCTGAACCTTATTATTGGAGAGATTCTTCTCTTAGTAATAATTGATCAAACTATCCATGCCAGAGCCCTCCCTGGATGTGAGTGATGATATTCAGAGATCCTGACTCTTCCCAGTGTCAGCTCTGTACAGAAATAAATGCAATTGCCTGACTTTTTCAAGTGCTGGATGCTTGGGAGATTATTAATACACAAAAGTTTTCTGGAAGGAGGTTAAATACAAAGCAATTCTCATTTTTCAGAAATCCTGCTGGACCTTGAATAAGGTCAAGTGGTGAAGGTTTCAGATAATTTCGGAATTTCTCATTAAATAACTTGACAGCAGTGAACACAGCCTCATTTCAGGTAATTTCTGCGTAATTGAGTCTGGGTATTTTGAAATTATCTCCCCACACTGCAACATGAAATGAGAATCCGACCCTCTCTATTCGGGGCTATTCCAAAGCTCCTGGATCGTATCGTTCCCCCACGGATGAATATTCTCCTTCTTCACCAAGAAGATGCATGAGGCTCTTGGTGCATTTTACCCCACCAATGCAAAATCCCCTTGATGCTTGACCCATTGCAACGATGTCCGAAAAAAACATTCCTAATTCCCTAATTTCTCCAGGACAGGCTCTTCCCGTGGGACTACCTGACTGAGCACCCGATTGATCCAAATGTAGCAGTCTCTGAATAAATCATAGGTGATGCCATTAGGAGGGGTGTTGCTTTGCAATCTGCCACGGAGCCCATGCTTCAACACCCTTTTTTTTGTTCAGAAAACCATTTCTCATTGACCCAAAGAGTCCAGCGCTGCAACGTATCGTTAGGGCTAATTTTCTACTGAAGGGGAAGCTAAAGGAAATGAAAAGGAAAGTCAGGCCCTAGCCAGAACCAGCCTTGAATAATAAACCCACTTGTCATTTTGAATGCTGCTGATGGCACTGCCAGCTAAGAATATGTTCTGGTCACCCCCATGACAACATTTGCACAGACTTCTGTTCTTTAAGCTAACCCTGAAGACCCTATTCCACCCAGAATGAGGTCCCTGGTTTGTCAGCATTATGGAAATACATCATTTTGCTCGCACAATATTTATAATCTGTGTAAAATCAAGGATTTATAGGAAGTTATTAGCAGCTCAGGCATTGTATGTTTTCATGCACTGTCGTATAGTTTGAATGGTTATTACCTTTTGTTTTCAGTCTGTATTGATCTCTCGTTTCCTCAGCCTGAGGTAGAGCCAACAGCTACAAATCCAAGGGGGAATATTTCCCGGTGTTATTACTCAATAAAAGATATATGTGACCAATAATCTGAAGTCATTAAACTGGTTAAGCGCATTGTGCCAACCAAGGAATATGCAAAAGCAAAGACCAATATGTTATGTGCAAGTTCAGTGCTGCTTGAATCGAAATCAAGCTCATTATCAATTAGCATTCCCAAGTTAGACATAAAATGAATCCAAATAGAGCTTTATCCATCGTTTCTCCACTGCAGTGAAAGACTCTTACTGGTTTTACTGGGCTTTAGAGCAGATGGTCATGTATAGCATATTATTTGCTTTGCTTTGGCAAGATATTTTGCTAAATTCAAGAGCAGAAGATCACAAGAAGTCTACAGCATAGTATTATTATCTGCTTCATCCCATCTTGCAAGCATCTTATGAACAAAAAAGTCTTCTCAAGAGTGAACCGATTTCATTATACCACTTGCCTTCAATATTTAAAACCCAACTCCAGCTTCTGATTTTAATAGAATCATCTCACCTTTGTCTTCTATAATAGCTGGAGGATAGCACTAATTTTTTTTATGTAATAACAATTATGTAAGGCTCCGGCTTTTACAACAGTCTTTAAGGTAAAACATCCATACAATAATCCAGGAATTTTACTGTAAGCCCTATAATGTGGAGACCATTATGGTGATGTTAGCTCTTAAGGTTCTCTTACCTATAGCACCATTGCAGAAGATACCAAGGATATTTTGTGGAGAATATTGTAAGGTGGCCTCTGGCCTCCTTAAGCAAACATAGACCTAAAAGTAAATGCAGAAAAGATGGGCAAGGAAGGAAATGGAAAAGCAGAGGTGGAGTAACAGCATGACTATGCAAAGAACTTTGGAGGTGAAAACACTCAATCTAGCAAACTTTTACAAACCATAAATGATTCTGACCTTGGTCAGGTCCCATAGTTAGTTTCCTATGAGTGGAGTTCAGTATTGCCAGGGATGCCTGCACTATTGCCATAGAAACAAAAAAAAATCCTCATTTCCATTTTTCAAAATTGTTTTGCCACTTAGTAGGTTGTAATTACTTATATACTTTGACATTAATTATTATAAAATGCCTTGAGATTTGACTCGGCTGTGTAATTGCATGTTATTTGTACAATGAGTTCTGGTTGTTGCAGCAAGCTCTGGAAGAAACCAACTCCTCTGGAGCACTTTGGGTCCCAATATCATAACTAATGCTCATATCTGCGTGTCAAGAAGGTTGTTTCCTTCAGTAAAAGGATGATTTTTCTCCTAGATTTCTAGTTTCCTGCCACAAATTGCATGATTAACTGTTGTGCTTATGAGATCTCGTGGCTGGCGGAGCTACTGTGGAGATGTTGGGCAATTCCAACGTGCTCAAAATAAGGAGGTTCCTGTTGTCATCCATCCTTTCCACTGTTACACCTGCAATAAGGCCAGATGCTCTTCCCATGTGGAACGCCGTTCCCAACGCTGTTCCTCAAGGCAGGAGGCCAGGAGAATGGGAATGAGCTGGGAAAGGCCATGAAACTTCATTCGTGGGAAGCCTCAAATGGGTCGACGACCTCAAATGCCAGAGTAGACATGGTGATCAAGAAGAATTTTTCTGTGATTTTTGCCATTTTCTTTTCCAGATCACTTCAGCTCCCTCACAAGCCACCAGTCATCCTCTTCTGGAGGCAATGCTGGTGATGTTAGGAATACTCACCTGCACCGTGCTGAAAATTCCCATATAATCACGAGCATTTTGCAACTCATAGTTATGAGAGAGCTCTCATAATAATAATAATAGTTCCCAGAGAGCTATAGAAATAAAGGGCTTTTCTCTTTGCTTCTACTTTGTTTTCTTTAACACTTAGGCTATATTAGCTTCTCTCTTCTGCTCCAACAGTCGTTAAGAAGTGCTGCCCGTTGGATTAGGGGGTCGACACGGCCCATTTAAACCTCAGAAGACTTGACTTGGAATATGGGCTAATAAAACAGCAACCTGCAGCTCTGGCGCACGAAATGTTGCAGCTGTCTCGAGGAAGAACAATATTGGTGATTGGTTATGGAGAAATTAATTGCGTCCTTTCTTTGTCTTCCCCGCGGTGACTGGAATAGAAGCGTCGTGCTGAACACAACGAGTTTCCTTAGTTATAGCTCGTCGCGGGCTCCGCTGATGTATTTATAGTGTTCCTGGCTCTTTTAAAGCACACTGGGAGCTTGAGACGTTTGGATAAAAATGAGAGAGGAAGATGAAGATGTCACTTTTTAAAGAAGGATTTATTGCGCTCCACGTGGCTGCGAGCAACGCCTGTTTTCTTAATTCATCTGTAAATTTGCTAGAAATGTATCCGCACTTTTGCAGATGCTTTACATCCTGTTGCAAACGGTCATAAAAGTAGGGAATAAGGTTAGAAAACACTAATTCTCTGTAATAATTTAC